TTATTTTTTAATGTTTTTTGAGACAGAGTCTCATGTATCCAAGACTGGCCTCAATCTCATTTTGTAGCCCAGGATGACCTTGAATTCTGATCCTCCTGCCTCTACCTCCCAAATGCTGAGATTACAGGGGTTCATCACCACCCCTGTTTTTATTCAGTGCTGGGGACTGAACCCAGGCTTCTTCCATGCTAGGCAATCACTCCACCAGCTGAGCTACACCCCCAGCCCAAAAGCCCCACTTTATATTTTAAATGAATTTTATTGGAGCTTACTTCCTCTGGGAAAAGACTTCATTAATTAATAAATTTCATTCTTTCTAATGTTTTTTTAAAGAAAAAAAGAAATCTTGTTATTTCTCTATGGCCCAATTTTGGGTTTCCTTCTTAATAATTCTTATTTTAGTAACTGTTTTTTGTTGTTGTTGTCGTTTTGTTTTTTGTTTTGGTCTTTTTGAAAAAGGAAATGTCTCCCTGTAGCCACAGCTGGCCTGGATTCACTGTGGAAACCAGGCTGGCCTTAAACTCACAGAGTTCAAGGGACTAAAGGCGTGCGCCATCACGCCCAGTTATGTAATTGTTGTTTTTGTTTTGGGGGGTTTTTTTGGTCTTTTTGAAGCAGAGTCTCCCTGTAGCCCCAGCTGTCCTGGAACTCACTATGGTAATTGTTGTTTTTAATGTGGAAAAATAATACAGAACACTAAATTTACCATTTGAACCTTTTAACTCAGCTTAGTAAAATTTAATGCATTGGTGTGCAGCCATCAGCACTGTCCTTATGAAAAATTTCATCATCCCAGACCACATGCATTGAAGGACAACTTCACAATTCCCCAGTGACTGTTGTTTTCCCCAGTGGATACTGTATTAAGCTTTATTTTCCTTACGTGAATAAGCACATAATTGTTTTCCTGATAGAAGAGGGATATTTGCTAATATAATGGCAAATGCAGAAACTACTGACAAAGATGTATAATTTGTAAAACAGCTGAGTGGGCAAAATTCTGATTTTCGGTTACCCTAGGCACTCCAAGTGTACTTCTGGTAATGCTTTTCCCTGGGTGTTTGTTTACCCTGATAGAAATCACATCCATGCACAAAGAGCGAGCTTAATTACACAGAAGTACATACCAAGCATGAGGTTTTACATTTTTTTGACATGTTTTCTGATTTACAGATGAGACATAGTTCTAACTGGTCTCAAAGGAGTCCTATGGATTGAGGGCAGTAGAGCTGTGAGTGTTGTCCTGTCTTATGGGACACCTTTGAGCCCTTCCCTCCCTCTGGCACTGTATTCACTGTGTGGTGATTCTGAAATCCTCTCAGTCTTGCCTGACTTGAAGGTCAGACAAAGGCACAGAGGCTGATTTAGAGGTGATAGTGATTTAGGGATATGGATGTAGTTGGGGGTAGAACAAAATGAACTGATTCCCAGAGTTCACTTATCCTGAAATTGCTTGGGCTGAAAATCATAAAAAGAGCCAAACCAGGCATAGTGCTGCACACTTGGAATCCCAGCACTCTGGAGACTGGAGGATCACTATGAGTTCAAGGCTAGCCTGAGCTAATGCATTCCGACACAGCCTGGCTACATAGACCCCTTTCTCAAAAATAACAAAAATTATTTAGATGCTAAGGTGTGCCCCAGCCACTGTGCTAAGCTTTACATGTGTTATTTTATTCACTGGTAATTCTGTGAGACAGGAATAAATGACAATGTTATAGACAGAAAATATAAAGAAGAGAAATATCATACAACTTGCCTACAATGTAGGACTCACACCCAGGCAATTAAATGCCCTTGCTCCCTGATTCTTTATATCAAGTGTGTCTGATCTTCTTTGGGGTGAGGAGGTGGGGGAAACTGGTGAAAGGCCCTTGGAAGAGGGTGAGTATTAAGCCAGAAACTCCTACTCAAAGCCACTCAGACTCCTCCATGGCTGAGGTGAGTGACATGGCTTAGCCAAGGCCAAGCACAAGGTCTGGAGGTGGAGGCTCCAACCAGGGAAAGTGGAGAAAAGGCAGAGGACCTTGCTGGCCATCTGTTACATGGTTGAGAAGGGAAGGGAGGCACTTTAAGCACATCTCCCGAGGGTCAGGTCATCTTTGCATTCTTTCTCACTGCTTTTGTGTGGTTTGCATAGTCAGTCCTGTAATTGCTGCATCTTTTTGAGAACTGCTCTCTTGAGGGAACCCCTTCTCCAGAACTGAGTTTTATTCATACCTCTCCACACCACCATGAGAAGCCTTCTTCCTGAGTGCAACTATCTCAGTGGGTTGTGAGGATCGTGCTATGTATACTTGAGGATACCAGGCTGACAGACTCTCCTCCTCGCCCGTCCCCCATCTTCCTGGGAGCATGGTCACATCACTTCTGAAAGAAGTTGTCTTCAGGCAAAGAACCTCCAAGTTGGAGATCTATCTGGATGGTAGGGTGTACTGATGGATTCTATCAGAAATTAAGGAGGCTCAACTGTGCCCTAGGGTTGGTCATGGTGACCCGGAAGAGTCCACAGGCCGGGGAGTAGCTCCTGGTCCACTCAGACTCTGGGCTTTTCTTTTCTCTAGCAGGGCCTGAAATACCTTCCTGGTCTTTGCTCCTTTGCTGCTCACAGAGTCACCCCCATACAACTTGAAATGAATAGGATAGCATTTCCTGGGGGTATTCCTAACTCCAAGGAGTGTGTTTGCAGGTTGATTTCAGGAGTTCCTGTCTTGAAAGTTAATGTTTCCAGCTAGAGGTGGCAGTTCTCTGAATAACTCTGTGAACCTCCTCATATCAAGAGGTGTTTTGTTCCAGACTGTCCTTGAGGTCTTATTCTCAGTCTCTCTCTCATTCAAGCCCTGCAGTAGCTCCTACAGAGGCAACAGTATTACTGCATTGCTCTTAAAAAAATTATGTCTCATTAATACTACCTCATAAGTTCAGGTAATTGTCATACCAAAAAACAGCATTTTCTTTTTATCTGAGTCAGAATCTTGCACAGTTTCCCAGGCTAACCTCAAACTCACTATCTTCCTGCCTCAGCCTCCCAAGTGCAAGGGTGCATGTGCACTACCCACCATGCCTGGCTTCTAAACTCAGTCTTTCAGGATTGTGGCGGAGTAGTCCACATGCCGTTATAAAATTGCTCCCTTCAACAGAAGTGGCAGTATGGAGCTCAGCCATAGGAAGGGTTTATGAGGGCATGTTTCAAGTTGTGTCACAAATTAAAATATGGAAGATGGGATTTCAGTCAGTGCCTCAAAAGTACAGCTGAGGCTATGGCGGGAGATACTTTCAGCCCTGCCACTCTGGCTTCTTTCTTGCTGTCTTTTCATGTCTATATTAGGGTGACACCATGGACATATCTGTGTCTTAGCCTGTTCTGAAAAACTGCTACATTGGGTCCATTCACCCCAGCCTAAAATATACCATGAAGAGTTTTAAAATTAAAGGAATACAACTAAATCTATAATTTCCTTTTCTTGGTTTTAATTTTAGCCACTTGGAGCCGGTGACTATTTGGAATTATCACGAAATTTTGATACAGTATTTTTACGAAACATTCCACAATTTTCTCTGGCAAAGCGGACTCAAGCTCGAAGATTCATAACTCTCATTGATAACTTTTATGACTTCAAGGTAAGGATGTAATACATTTTCATAGAGCAAACATTTTGATCTTTGAAGTTAGATGATCTGGGTTGGAATCCTGGCTGTATCAATTCCTTTAACCTTTCTGTGCCTCAGTTTTCCCATCTGTAAACAGGGAATAATAGCAGTATCTACCCTCAGGTAGTTGCTATGAGGACTACAAAGGCTTATCCATGTAAAGTGCTTAAAATGGCATTTGGCCCAAGCTGAATGCTGTGAACTTACTATTAGAACTAACAGCAGCCAAAAAAAAAAAAAAAAAAAAAAGAAGTGTTAAAGCTGGGTGTCGTGGTGCATGCCTTTAATCCCAGCACTCCAGAGGCAGAGGCAGACAGATCTTTGTGAACTTGCATGCAAAGCCTGACCCAAGTTGAACACTCAGTTGATGTGTGTTGCCTGAATAAATGGTTGGACTGAGAATGATGGATGGCCAAATGAATGAATGACTAGAGAACCCTCTGCCATGTGAGGCTCTCCCTATGGCACCCGTTGTCCCTGTCCTCCCACCCCCAGGAACTAGCAAGAGACCATCTTGATGCTCTGTTTTTAATCCACATACCTTAGTCTGGATTGCAGAGCCATTCCCACCCATGAATGGCAACAAAGCCTTGTGGGTAAGGAGTGGGCCCTGGTGCCAGGTTGTCTGAAGACAGGCTCAGCATCTCTGAGCTTCAGTTGTCTTCTCTAGCAGTGAGGGGTAAAAATGGTACTTAGAGGATTTCTGTGAGGATGAAGTGAGTCTTCAAAGTACTAAGAATCCAGTGTGGCACAGAGTGAGCTTACAATAAAGGTGAGATGCTCTTTCTAGTATATGCCTTTAAATATATAGTGGCAATAAATGCATATTAATTTAAGCATTTTTTATACTATTAAAGACCTTTTTCCTCCCTAGTCTTTGCACAGAATTAAGTAAAACAGTAATTCTAAGATGGAGGTAACTGTGAGGCAAGGAGAAGTAACAGAATCCTCTGGGAGGGAGAAGTGTGAGTTTCTTTCATTTACTCATTCCTTCAACAGCCTTTATAATTTAGTACAGTGCTAAGCTCTAGAAAACCAGTGGCAATTGAAGCAATAGCTGGTGTGGTTGCCTTTATGGAGTCAGAGCCAAGTCAAAGCAACACAAATCCTATGTCCATGGAGATCGGTGTTCAGTCACCTCTGTGGGATGACTATTCAGACAGAGAGAAATGACTGTGAGCCTTGGGTTTCAGAGGACAATGCACTGATCCGGGAGTAGTTGAGGGGGTCCAAAGAAGTCCTCTGAGGTCCAGTTACATCAGAAACATCTGGCTACTTAAAATCCAGATTCCAGAACCCACCCCTTCCCACCCTAGCAAAGGAAGGCCAGGCCTAGGACCTGGACGCTCATGTTCATGTGTTCTGAGGTGCTTCTCATAAATGTTCAGGGGACTGAGGCTGACTCCAGCACAGGGTGGAAGGGGGCAGCTAGGAAAGGGAGTTTACAGCAAGTGCCTAGTAAACAGGTGCAAAAGTGGGCCAGGTGCAAAAGGCAGCTTTCCTGCTCTGGTGAGGCAGCCAAGGAAAGTCCTCCATAGGCAGCATAGGGAGTCAGGGGAAACAGAGGCTGAGGTCAGGGAGCTGGGGCTCCAGGCCCATCCATGTGAGTGGCTTCCTTCTGCAGGGGTTCTGCCCCATCCTCATGGCTGGTCTTCATCCACCCAGCGCAGCCTATGAGCCTGGAAGTGGTGCTGTTTTTACAGGGCAGAAGCTTCTAGAAGAAAATGATGGAAGGGCATTAGAATGGAAGGTAAAGACCTGTATTGTTTTCTGTTTTCAACTGGAAATACTTTAAAGAGAATCTGTGCCCTACCATTCTATTCTATCTCACACTCACGTTTCCACTTTTTATTTAAAGGGAGTAAAAAATTTGCCTGGCAACGTGATGAAACACCCAAACTCCTCTTCACATTTACTGTAACTGAACCCACATTTGTAGATTTTTCTCTCTTTTAAAATATAGTTAAAATCATCTTACTTTAGAAATTAAGCAGGTAACATTCTAGAATGTGTTCATAAAAATTTGTGAAACAGGCTGTGCCCATTTAAATAATGAAAAAAAGTGTCATTGGGCTGGAGAGATGGCTCAGTGGTTAAGAGCACTGACTACTCTTGCAGAGGACCCAGGTTTGTACTGGAACTAAGTCCCAGCACCCACATGGCAGTTGACAGCCACCTGTAACTCCATTCCAGGGGGGTCCGATGCCTTCGTCTAACCTCCGCAGGTGTTGCATAACATGGGTGCACCTACACACATGCAGCCATTACACATCAAATAAAAAAGTAATTAAAAAGCATTAAAAACAGAAAAAGTGTCATTTTTGATTAAAAGAATTTATTAAAATAAAATGGAAAAGCTAGTCCCAAAAGTCAACATGTTACTTTAAAGTATTGGTGTATTTACTTGAATGGTGACTTAAAAGGCTACCTATTAATCCTGGAAATAAATCTGGGGTTCTTTAGGAGTGTGCTTTGGAGCTGGGCATGGTATGCATGCCTTAAATCTAATGTTTGGGAGACAGAAGCAGGAAAATAATGAGAGGACAGACTGAGCTCTATAGTGAGTCTCTGAAAAAATGAAATGAAAGAGGAGGATGCTTCATATTTAAACTAATAGACAGAAAATGTATAAAAGATATAAAAGCTGTTTCAATCTATGATCATGTCTGCATACTCATCAAATACTGAGATAATGAAGATTCTGATGTAAAGCTTAGTCTTTTTGAAGACTGCCCTGGTAAGATGCTGATAGAAAAAGGTTCTAGAGAGGCTGCCAGATGGCTCAGTGGTTAGGAGCAGACTGCTCTTCCAAAGGACTCAAGCTCAGCTCCAAGCATCCATGCCAGGCAGTTACAACTCCCTGTAACTCTAGCTCCAGAGGATCCACCACCCTCTTCTGGACTCTGCAGGCACCTGGGCTCACATGTGCACATACATACATGCAAATATATACATACATACATAATTAAAACTAAAATCTTTCAAAAAGAGAAAGGTCTTGGAAGCTCACAGTAGAGGTTAGTTCACTGAACCTAGCTCTTAGCTGTGTCATCAGTAGTAACTGCCTCTTCCAGTGCAGCTGAGATCAGCTTTGATGCATACAGCCGCTCCATACCAGCTCCAGCCTGACAGGTAATATGTCAACAGCAGAGCACTCATGATGCCGTACCAAACCCCACAGAGTGGCTAATTCATAAATAACAGAAATTTATTTCGGATGGTTCTGGGAACCAGAAGGGCCAAAGCAAGGCACCAGCAATTCTTGGCGGAGCCTTCATGACTCAGTGGCCTCCTACAGGCCCCATCTTTTAATCCTGTACTGGAACTAAGTCTCAACATGAGTTCTGAGGGGGGCATGGGCATTCAAACAGCAGTGGTAATGGAAAGTACACTGGACTATGACTGGGAGATGTGGGCTGAGACCTCTGCAGTCCTGAGATTCCCAATATAAAACCTTGGCTCTCTAATTCACACAGTGCTAATAGCTGTGTAGAAATATTTTGAAAAGTACCATGCAGTTTTTAAATATCGCTTAACTACAAGCTACTAGAAAAAGCACAGACATCTTATAAGCCAAGATCCAAGCTCCTTGATTTGACAGATTTTTATTTAGTGAGAAATTTTTCTTACTTTCAACTGAGAAACAGAATCCCACCATCCGCTCATTTTCCTGTTTCAGGTGCGCATAATCTGCTCTGCATCGGCCCCTATATCAAGCTTATTTTTGCATCAACATCATGACAGTGAGTTGGAGCAGAGCAGAATACTGATGGACGATTTGGGGCTGAGCCAGGTAGGCGATATTAACACAATCTCTTTTTATTATAAAACAGCTTGATTGTTTTTGTTTTGATATATGACTACATTTTGAAGAAGAAATGAAGTACATAGTTAACCATTGATTTGCTGCTTTCTTCTAATGCTAGTGTAGTTGACGTTTCTCAATATCACCACATTTAGAAAGTCACCACCTTAGAGTAAAGGAGCTTCTGGTGATCACATTAAGCCAATGCTTCATTTTGCACATGGCAAACACCAAGTCCAGAATAATAGGCCACAGTCACACTGCTCAGCCATGGCAACCAGATCCACATGCCAGGGCACTGTGGCAGCTTCCAGGCCCATTTTGCTAGGCCAGACTGCCTTTTCTGGATACAGTTCTTCCTAACTGCTGGACTTGGAGTTTGTGATACAGTATCCAAATCTGTATGCTGGGTGCCCCAGGCCCATAGAGAGCCTAGCAAAGCCCTAGCTTAAAAAGAAATCCATGATATGTCTCCCACGCTTTGATTCAGCAAACATTTATGGAGCACCTGTGGGTGCCAGACTCAGAGAATACCCTGTGAGAACAGACTGATGCTGGCCTGGTTTTCCTGGAGTTTGGAGTCTGGATTCACCCCAGGGAAGTCCCTGCATTTCCTTCTTGTATAAGAACAGTGTAGGGTACAGTTCTCAATTACCAACAATTTAAATATTAGTTAAAACTTAAAACTGTCAACACTGACCCCAAGAACATGGGTCTCATTCTTCTAGTCCCAATGGTAAAAGCCCATTTGGAATGTGGAGGCAGCTGCTATTGACCTGAGTGGCTGTTACTCATCCTCTGAAGTTTGTGATAAAGAGGTCAAAAATGACTTAAAAAGAAAACTTTGAAAATGTGATTACTTAAACCTGTATAGGTCTTAGTCTGTTCAGGCTACCACAACAAAATCTTTCTCATAGTTCTGGATCTGAGAAATTCAAGTTGTTTTGATGAACCCTTCACATGGTAGGAGTAAGGGTTCTCTCTGGGCCTTCCTTTCTAAGAACACTAATCCCACTCTTAAAGACCCCAAGAAGTAATCAGTTCCCAAAGGTTCTCCTCCTTGAAGGTTAGAGTTTCAACATAGGCATTTTGGAAGGACACAAACATTCAAACCATAGTAGTATAGAATTAAATAGCTGTTTCAAACCTCCCTGCATGGGATACTTGAAATGTTGGTTCTCAAACAGCAATACTTACATACAAATATTGCCTTTATCTGTTTGAAAGAATACACTTGAAGTGCTGATCAAATTAGTTTCTAGTCATAGGCTCTTAAATTTTCACACATTGGTCAGAGTTCAGACATAGGCCAAGTAAGCTCAGCACTTGGGGTCAGTCATGAAAAAATTAAGGACCATGATCTCTGAGTCATAGAGGGTCACAGTGGATCAGTGCATGGATTTAGGAGGCCAGAATTTTTCCTCCCAAAGAACATAAGAGCAAACCCCCAAGGAAAGAAAGGCAAATTCAACCCCCAAGACTCTGCCCCTGAAGCTTTGGAGGCTTATACCAGCCTCATCCCTAATGTAACAGAACTACTGGGTTTTGTTTTTATGAGTTTGTTTTTAGCTTTTCAGACTGGGTCTTACTATGTAGCCCAGGTTGGCCTTGAACTTTGTATCTTCCTGCTTCTTGAGGTCTGAGAATGTAGGCGTAAGCCACTGTGCCTAGCAAAACTACCATTTTTGCCATTAGTACTTTTGGAAATTTCTTTCTATCTAGAAAGCGCCCTTAGATTTTGCAGAGAACTTCCATTCTGAGTAAAACCTTTCATATTTGTGTTATTTAAGCTTTAATTGTTGTTCTGATGTTTTTCTTTTAAGTTTTATTGGTTTGTAAATTCCTATTTGTTTAGATCTGTTGATTCTTGAGGCTCATTTAAGAGTTTGTATATATTATAGAGATGTATATTATAATGTAATATATATGTGATATGATTATAATGATGTATATTATAATCTAAATAGAAAGGACTGAAGGTTTTTTAAATCTGGGCTTCGGTCTGAGAATCTTCATATGGAGTGGTTTTCACTAGTGCTTGGATATTTGTGTGTCTTTTCACAGCAGGATTTTGCAGGGCTCTCTGTGTTCACTGGAGAAGAGGAGATCTTTGCTTTTCATCGAACGATTTCCCGACTCACAGAGATGCAAACTGAGCAGTACTGGATCGAAGGGGACAGAAACAAGAAGTAGCTGTCACTTGCACGTGACCAAAACGAAGCACCTGGTTAAGGTGGGAGACTTGAGGGAGTCATTGTCCCGTCATTACTTATGTACTTTGTCCTCTGGACTGTCTGATCTAAGATTGCTGTCAAAGATGTAGTGGATGAGTCTTTAACTAAGACTTCTCATCTTTATGGATCTACCTTTTTCTATTTATTTGGCCTTATTTCTGCATCATAAAGTGAAAGGTGTCACTCCTGATGATTACTATAAAACCTGACATGCTAGCTTCACATTAAACCACTCAACTGAACCTTGAACACACAGACTGCACAGGCATCGAGGATATCTGGGTATCTCTCTCCAGGCTTTGGCCATGTGATATTCACATCTTAGAAATACATCTGTTAAAGTAAGGGAGAAACATCTTACATTTCAGCCGAAAACAAAGAAAGCTTTCTGGTTATATGGACTGGAGGAAATAGCTAGATCAAGGATTTTAGGCAGTACCTGATCATGTGAAGACAGAGGTGTCTGGCAAGATGGAGGATTATGTCACCATCAAGCAAGTCTGAAATTCCAGTCAGAGAAGCAGATCTGCAGGCAGATCTGCCCCCCTGACAGCCAGGGGGAGAGCAGTTATCAGGAATGGGCCTGGTGAGAGTGTCAGAGGAGGAGGAACCACAGCCACACCAGCCAAGAGTTGATACCTGCTTGCCCAGGCTCCTTCCATAGCTCACCTGCTCTGATGCTCGTTGCAGAGGGTCATTCCCTGCCTTTCTGCCGAGATGCAGAGAGTTAGACCTAATAGTAAATAGGCAAGAATACTTGACAAATCTGTAAATAAAATTTGATTTCTCTTCATTGAGCTTGTCTGATTCATTTAAGTAAAACCTGTCTTTGCTAAGTATTGTTACAAAAGGGGATTTTGGTTGAGATTGCATGCAATAAACCCTTCCCCTCCATCCCCCCAAATCACATAGTCTTCACTATGTCTTAAAATCCCCCCCCTCCATTTTTGGAGACAGAGTCTCTCTCTGTAGAGTCCCAGATAGTCTGGAACTCGCTATGTAGACCAGGCTGGACTTGATTTCACAGAGATCCACCTATCTCTGCCTCCAAGTGCTGGGACTAAAGGTATGCATCACCATCACCTGCTAAATACTAGATTCTTTATAAACTCTTTTGATCCTTATCATGATCCTCTGACGTAGTCACCATTTCACAGACAGGGAAGTTGAGGCCCAGAAAATATCAAAAATACAATACTGAATAGCTAAGTCAGGTGAACAATCAATACTAACTTATTACCCTCTTTATTTCCCTATCTCTGTCCTGTAAACAGGATTCTTTGTCTATATGAGGTAAACTTAATTTGTAGCCTCTCTATCAAAGATGCAAACACCCCAAGGGAGTGGGTCCTGTGTCTCTGACATTTGAGTTTCTGGTCAGTATCAGTGTGTGTCTAGCAGCAAGTCTGTAAGGGATCTTGTGAAGTGTTTCTGTTAGTTCCACTGATTTTCTTTGGAAATGAGTTTTCAACTTTTTAGTAAGACAGAGTTGAAATTAGTTTTTCCTATCAGCATGCATCAGTTCCTTCTTCTGGATCAGAAAATGAAAAACCTTATCTACCTTCTTGTTGAGTGTCTGCTGACCTTGTCTAGCCAGGAACTATGTCATAGCTTTATCTCAGCTGGTCACTGAGTTGATCAGACCAGTGTGTCTCCTGACCTTTTGTGGACATGGGTCTGTCCATCTTGCTTAGTTGGGGAGTCTTCCAGAGGTTGTTCTGAGAAATTTCTTCTCAGGGCTGTGCTTTCCAGGTGCCCAGCACTTGACTATGACCCATGTGACTGTAAGAAAGACTGGGCTCAGCAGTTAAGAGCACCAGCTACTCTTGCAGAGGACCTGGGTTCGGTTCCCAGCACCCACATGGCAGCTAACAACTGTTCATAAGTCTAGTTCCAGGGGATCCAACACCCTCTTCTAGCCTCTGCAGGCATTGCATGACATGGGTGCACTTACATCCATGCAGGCAATACAGTCATACACATGAAATAAAAATAAATAAATTTCTTGTTTAAAGGAAAAAGAAAGGCTGGGAATCTGGAACCAGGAAACTCAGTTCTGCGAGTTTCTGTTCATTACTGTTCTGAGTCTCAGTTTTCTCTCAGGGGATTATTCTAAAGACAGGTAATAGAAAGCACTTGGCAAATGATAAAAGCTTAACTGAATATTCCTTGTCAGGCTAACAGTTATGATCAGAAGTACACAATCAATGGTACTCTGCATTATCAGATGATCTTTGAGGAATGCAAAACTTGAAGATACATCTGGGTTACCCCAGTGGTTTTCTTGGAGAAGAGCAGAGATCCACAGTAAATAGCTACACTTCGAGGGTGCACGGTTCTGTTTTAATGATATTGGAGAAAGTTGTTAAATTGAAATCCATTCTTTTCAGCACGGTTGAACACAGAAAAAGGATTGTTGCTCCTTTGGTGAACATCCGTGATTTCCCATGAAGAGGGCACCATCTGGTGGTCAGTGAGGTGAACTGACAAGAAAAAGTTTAGGTGCAATAGGTTGAAAAAACTTCAATGTTACCCATTCCCAGGCCAGGGCCAGAGAGTCAGGCAGGCACCCTTGGAGAGGCAGAGCCCAGCACCTGTGCTCATTAATGCTCCCCAATGGAACTCTGTTGTGTAGCAGAGGTGGGGCTATTGCCTGTGACTGTGTAGCTAGCAAGCTCGAAGAGCTAGCACTGTTAATATAAATTGAGAAAGCCGCACCTAAAGCAACATTAGGTATCTCTCTTGGCACACAAACTCCAAGTCTATTTATGAAAGATAGATCTGAGGGAAACAGCTTAAATACATGAAGCCAGTGCTTATGGGAAGAAAGAGAAGGGCCAGAGCGGATGAGAGAGGGAAAAGGAAAGGGCGGCAATGTATGGTCAGATAGGGTCCAAGTGTCACAAACTGAGCTGTGTGATGTGCCCACAGTCTCTGAAAAGAGAGCATGGACACCTAAGACAAGTACTTGAAGGAAAGGATGAGGTGGGAAGGAGTTCTGCTGGGTCCTGATGGGCAGCATCAGTGCTGAAGGAGACAGGGCCTGTCAGCCAACTCTCCAGCACACTGGGATCCCCAGGAAGGTTCAGAGACAAAAGGGTTGACAGTGTATAAGGTCCACACAGGAGCAGGCATCTGTTGTGTAACACTATTCCTGGGGAGAGTGAACAAACCTCCTCTCTATCCCAATGGGAACTGAAAGACCAAAGTGAGTATAAAACCCAAGTCCAACTTGGTGAATCAGTGGGTTTTGGGGGGTTATTTACAGGAGTATGGGTGTGGGATTACTTACAGAAATGACTCAAAGACATTTGCATGACCAAAGTCTACCCCAGCATGGCTGACAGCTCATGTAAGCTAGAGCTCTGGAATTCACTGCACAACTTACAGGCAGTGCCACAGGTTGGAGAGTGTCTCTTTGGGCTGGCTCAGTTGGTCTGAGGCAGCTCAGCTTGTCTAAGAGTATCTCTCAGCAGTTCTCACTGTTTATATGAGCTTGTGGAAGAAGGGGCTGGTCAGGTTCAGAGACTTCCTTTGAGTTGTTTACTGCCTGAGCTTAAGGAGCTGCCCTGCAGGATTGAGTGTTTCACCTCCCCTTAGAACATCCTGTGTCTTAAGGAGCCTCCCTCCAAGATGGAAGGTTTCATCTCAGAGCAAATTATTACACAACAGCATCTAAGGTGCTGGTCTAGGACTGGGTATGAGCCTAAAGGAAGAGCTGGGGTGGGAGAGTGGGGGCAGGGGCAAATGCCTGCCCCCAAGAGGGGCAGAGATGGAGTTGGAGCTTGCCAAAGGGAGGGAGCTCCATGGTTATTACCAAATGATCTAGTCTCAGGACCAGAGTCTACTCTTGAAATGATTATACACTTCAAAGAGCTTTTATGTGAGGGACACAGATCACTATGTTAGAAATTAAAACAGATGTTAGTCAGGCATGGTGTCACATGCCTGTAATTCCAGCACTCAGGAAGCTGAGGCAGGTGGATCAGAAGTTTAAAATCAGCTGGGCTACATACCAAGATCCTGTCTCAAACAAACAAACAAAAACAATAAAACCCTGAGGCTGGAGAGATGGCTCAGCAGTGTTAAGAGCTCTGACTGTTCTTGGAGAGGACCTGGGTTCAGTTCCCAAGACTACATGGCAGTTTACAACTGTCTGTAACTCCAATTACTGGGGACCTGATTCCCTCTTCTAACCTCTAGGGGCACCAGGCATGCACATGGTGTACATACATGCATGCAGGCAAAACACTCATACAAATAAAAATATTTTTTTAAAAAGCACCTGTGGGGCTAGAGAGATGGCTCAGTGGTTCAGAGCACTGTCTGCTCTTGCAGAGGACCCAGGTTCAATTCCCAGCAGCCACATGGCAGCTAACAGTCATCTGTAACTCCAGTTCCAGGGGATCCAACGCCCTCTTCTGACCACCATGGGCATTGCATGACATGGGTGTACTTTCACATATGCAGGCAATACACCCATGCACATACAATAAAAATAATAAATAAAATATTAAAAATAAAAATAGATTGGTTAAATATTAATTTAACTCACTTAAAAATAACAAGTACAACATGCTTTACATAAATAGCACTATTAAAATGTTTTCAAAAAAAAAATAAGTGTAGCCCTCTCATCTTTTTGCCCATTTGACTTAGTGGGATACAACTAGAATCTTGCATCAGCCTATAAAGTCAATCCTTATAGATTGGTTAAATATTAATTTAACTCACTTAAAAATAACAAGTACAACATGCTTTACATAAATAGCACTATTAAAATGTATTTTCAAAAAAAATAAGTGTAGCCCTCTCATCTTTTTGCCCATTTGACTTAGTGGGATACAACTAGAATCTTGCATCAGCCTATAAAGTCAATCCTTAGTGATGTCACACATACATCATGGAGCGTCTTGAAAATTTGTGAAAGAATGAGGCTGGGAAAGCAAATAATGTCTGACTGGTTGTCTTGGTTTGTTTTCTGCTGCTGTAACAAAATACCTGAGTCTGAGTAGTTTACAAGAGATTCATTTCCAGACATAGTTCTTGAAGCTGAGGAGTCCATGGTGGAAGTACCACATCTGGCAATGACCTCTACTCTGCACTATCCCATGGTGGAAGGTGGAAGGCAAAAGAGTTTGAACGACTACGAGAAGGCAACATTCATTTGTGTCACAAACTCACTCTTTGAGGACAATAATCTGCTTGTGAGCCCTCATGTCCTAATCACCTCTTCAAGGTTGTACCTCTTAACACTGTTGCATTGGGGATTTAGTTTCCAACAACATGGACTTGGGGGAACATTGAAACTATACCAGTGGTGTTATGAGAAATGGTTTTGACCTCATGGACTCATGCAAAAATTCCCAGGGTGCTTGGAAGTACCAGACCCATACCTGGACAAGGCTAAAGACCATTGCTGATGGAATAAAGCACTCCTGTGAGCTCTCTGGAGCACACTGGGTTTCCAGAATGGAGAGAAGGTGCCAACTAAAGCCATGCTGACTTAAGTCAGTCCTAAATGACCATAGATCTTGTACTGATGCTCTCCCAAGCATTAAGCTGCAGTTCTGTGGCAACTGTCAAGGATCAGAAGTGTTAAGAACAGAAAAGAAGAAAGGGCTGGGTGTAGTGGCACAGGCCTGTAATCCCAGCACCGAGGCAGGATGATCACAAGTCCAAGGCATGAAATCCTTTCTCAAATTGGGGAGGGAGGGAGGGAGGGGAAAAGTTGAGGTTGGGGAGGTTGCTCAGTAGTAGAGTGCTTGCCTAGCACAG